TATATATAAAAAAATATATATATATGTGCGTGTATGTGTATGCACATATTAAAAAACAAAAATGAAAATGACATTTTAAATGTGAAGTTTTGAACTGAAACTAATAGTAACCAGGAAATTCAGAATTCAGGCTTGTTCTTTGGTGTTAGTTGACATGATCATGAACTAAAAAAAAAAGTGAAAGACTCAGAATTTTAGTGTCAGCTGAGTGTGAGCTTTTAATTTCACTGGTTTTTGTTAGTTTAGGTAAAAAAAAAGTTGTAATGTCATTTTAAGCATAGGTTTTTAAAAATAATGCTAGTTTCCTTATTTTTAAAAGGAGAAAAAAAAGGTGTCAGAAAGTTGTGAATGAAATATTAATTATAATACTTAACACTTATGTAGTGCTTTATGGGACATAATCTGCTCTCAGTTGTAGCAGTATAAATGAATGTAAAAATAATTTGAAACAGAAATGTTGAGACAGAAATTTTGAGATTGACTTCATATTTGTACAGGATCATGCTTTTATGAGATGCTTATACCCCTTTCAGGTGAAATCCATTCTCGCACAAAGGACCAGCAAAAAGGTTTAAATCACTTACATACATTACACTCCAGTATCTTAAGTGGGAGATAAACGATCCAGACACCTTTTTTTCAAGTCTTCAGCACTGGTTTGCTGCTCCGAGAGCAGAATTTGTCCCCCTCTACCAGACTCTCTGCAAAAGTCACTGAAGTTTTTTTAACTGATAGTTTGGAGCTTCCTCTCTCATTAGATGCTGCTAAAAGCTATTTTCGAAAGTTTCCCAAGGAACCATGCACTTTGCAGTCCAGAAAGACATGGGAGATGGGGAAAGTCAGATCTATCAGGTAAATACATACTTAGACATTTTTTAGATGAGACTATCTAATGTTAGATGAACAGATAACATTTAGTTTTCTATTTTCTGTAGTATGGGCTTTCACAAGGTATTACATTAACAATACTGTAAGTGTATTATTTAAAAAAATCAAAAAGTATATTTTGCATGACTGGCTGGTAGCCAATTTTCAAGCATTAATAAATTAGAACTCTTGAGAAAAAGGTGTTGAATAACTGCCTTTAGCTGGAGACTTTTTGCCATGTTTTAGTCCAGAGCAAGAAGGTGTTTGGATCTTTTTTTTTTTTTTTTTAAATTGTTGTTGTTGTTGTTGTTAAGGTTTTTTCTGAGCTTACTCTTGGATTCTGTTGTTTTCCTGGCCATCCTACAGTGCTCTGCAATTTGAGTTGGTGGATCTCAGTCCAGTGCCTCGTGGGCAAATGTCCACATCACCAAAACCACCCTCCAATCATGCACCCTGGTGACCAGGTCCTCAGCTAAATTAAAATCAGTACAGAAAACTGTTGTTACTGTTAGAACAAAGCCACTTCACTTTGGCTTGGGATTTGGCCTCAGCACATTAATATTACCATTATTTTTTGGCGGTCTCAGCAAGAGAGGTCAAGGACTGAATAGTCATGAAAATTTGGACTTGCCCCTTAAATTTCTAGAGCCAACGCTCAGGAGCAAGACAAGTTGCAGGGCAGTGGAGGGCAAATTTCTGCTGTTGCAGTCCCTGTGTTTCTTATTCAGTGGACAAATTGAAGTCTTCAGTACCTTTCACCAGCACTGAATTTACTAGAAGAAATGGTATCTCTCGACGTATTTAATATACAATATATTATACAGGCAACCCCCTACTATATGATTTTTTTATTGGCGGTGTTGATGCACTTGCAAATGTGGCTTTCCTTAGTCACTCAAACTTTCTCAGTGTTACTGGAAAGATCATACTTCAGGTGTATATAGTTATCTAAACCAGACTCTGATGTCATCACACAAATTAGATCTCAAGAAATCTTTATGTTGAATGTAAGCTGAAGACGCTGGACGTGCATGGCCACCATGCACGGTGGCTGTCATTTCAATTTGTTTCAGGATGGAAGAAACCAACAGGTGGTTTGCTTCTAAGCGTGTGTAAATATCAATTGAGTGTAACAGTGATTTGTTTGATTTTTCACTGTGAAATATATTTTGAAGCTAGAAAGGCTATGTTATTAAAACCAATACATAATTAAAAGAAAAACAAGTGTGCAGTGCTGCTTGAGCCATTTTTTCTACCATGTCCATACTGTATTTCTTGTCTAATTTTCTTGTTTTGCTTTTGTAAATGTACAAAAAGTTTCTGTGCTGCAGCTTTTGTGACTATTTACTGTATCTAACCACTGTTTGATTATTGACTTTTTGATGTGGAATGCTGGTACTACAGGACAATTAACATCCCAAAATGAAAACTACAACCTATATTTCAAAGAACAAGGCTTATTTCATTGCTGCATGGTGACCTCACCTCCTTTTACCTTCACATGCATTTAGTATATCTGGAACTCAGAGCCTAGGTAATGAAACTTAAATGCTTAGTTGTGGGAGTTTTTCTTTAATAGAGGAAAAACACACAAGTTCCTCTGCCTCATTTAAGTATTTGTATTTGAAAACCAGGTGTTAAAATGGGGTGGTGGGACAAGGGTGAGGGAAGAAGGCAGGTGAGTCCAGAGTGAAACGCAGAAAAGGTGCAGTTTGGAAGTTAAATTCAGATATCTTATTTGGTGTCTAGCTCCTCCTTTTCAGCAGCTGTCCATCA